GACAGCACAGTCCGAACCTAGACTGTGCACCCAATCCCAAACAGACGCTACAGATATAACCAGACACTTAACAAGGTCGTGTGTGAAACACATAGACGAGCTCCTGCAGTTCCAGCAGCCACGACGCCCAATCCTAGCACTAGTTTGTTAGAAGGCTCGGACGGTTGACTGTTGTTGAGAGAGGAAGATAGCGGAAGAGTGAGGTGAAGTCGAATTCCAAGGTACAATCTACACGAGAATAGTCGCCAATTTGGATTGGAATAAACATTACCTCCCCACTTGTTCCAAGTCGGCTAATATGGAGCACCTGAAACACAGCGCATTCTGCGCCACACGCTAAATGTCGTGGGTGGAAGACGGCCGGTTACTGAGGCGACCAGCCACCTACAAATCCCTTCATGTGAAAACCTGGTACATTGTGTGGGATCACGATCATATTTGGCACACGCAGACAAGCTGCTTTGTCAGCTACTGCGCCCGGGTCCACCTATAATCGCCCTGACTCCGTCTTGTCGTTCAGTCATTTCGGGTAAGATAGAAGAAAGACGGGCGGTTGATATACAAATTTGCTTCCAATGTCATCTAATACATGCACGATTCATCGTCCTCCATTCGTCACCTTGTGTAACACATAGTGGATATAATCGGTCTCGATGGCGGACACGTCGCTTATGTTTTTGGAGATGCATTTTCTACTGTGAAGGAATGACAACGGAATAAAGTGCCTCGGATACCATCCCGATACACTCTCATTTCACCGAGAACAGGGCAGTTTGCATACACCCGCTTCCGTGCGTTTGCTTATAATTCCTGCTTACGCCACCCACATTTGTTCACCTCAAGCGTTCTCGTTTCACTCGCCAGTCCGTTTTAAACATACCCCACATCTTTCAGAAAGAGATGTCAGAACATTAGTCAAATATGTCTTAACATTGCATCTAGGAGTTAATCTGTCAACCTAACTCCGAAATCTTCGATTGGGTGAACACTTGCGCTACAAATATGTGATTGCCTGTAATTGCAGCAAGAGACGTGCCTAGTTAGTCTACATTTTACGGAGACGAGTCCTTGGGATGATCTCAAAATCTATAGGTAAACTCGATGAAAATGCTTAGCGTACATAAGAGCAACGAGGAAATATGGAAAATAGGCCTAGATCATGTAAAAGACGTGGAACCTATGTGATAAGTTATACGGCCAAACACCAAAGTACACTGTGCACTCACTATCAAAATTCGCCTCCTAATCTAATCGACAGTCCACTTCTCTACCTTCAGTTCCATCTACGTCTTCTGGCCTGTTTCCCTCAACTTCCTCACTCTTCAATTACTGCCACGTGTAGGCCATTGTGATGAAGAATTTGAGTGGATAATATCTGCCAAATGAACATACCGTCATGCTTGAATGGAGAACGGTGTGATCTGCCTCATCAAACCGGTGGCGGCCCAGTCCGGTGGACACAAGCGACAAACCCGCCGTAAATGAACTTTGTGTTGCAAGTGCTCCAGATAAGCCCGCTCGCGACTAGCATACAGGAAACGAGTAATCCAACGCAAATCAACGACTCCTCTCGATGCAACCACCATTGCCGACGTAGACGCCTCTGCTGCTGCTGCCTCTGCTGATGTTGTTGCCGTAGTTCGTGTTGCTGCTTTTGTTTTTGCCGTTTCTGTTGCTGATCCTGCATTACTGCCTGCCTCCCTGCCCGCCTGCCTGCGTGTCTGCCTGTCTACCTTCAGCACAAACGAGGACGCCGACCAGGTCAAATAACTGGCGTTCCTGTCCGGTGGACGCAAAGGCCAAACCCGCCGTAGATGCACTTTGTATTCCAAGTGCTCCAGAGGAGCCCGCTTGCGACTACCATACATGAGGCCAGTAGTCCAAGGCGAACCAACAACTCTGCTCGGTGCGACCACCATTGCCAACGTGGACGCATTTGCTGATACTGCTGCCGCTGATGATTCCTGCCTTCAGCGCAGATGATCACGCCAACACTGGTCGGCTGGCGATGCTTGCAAGCGCGGTGACGCTTTGCTCGCTCCACCGGCACAACTGCTTTCTGCGCCCGTTGGCCATCTTCAGGCAACCTGCAGGATAACAAGACAGTTCTCGTTAACAGTGCTTCGCTGTCTGTCTACACAGTCGAATGAACACCAAAGTCGACCTGCGCACCCTTTCAACTCAGCAGTCTGCATTTCACAAAAGGCATTTGCGAAGGTCCGATGGAAGTTGGTGACAACGGGACGAATCTGGTTATTCACGTTTCGGACAACTTGCACTGCAGTGCTCATACTGGGCTGTGATATCTAGAAACTTGCACTGCAGTGCTCATACTGGGCTGTGATATCTAGAAACAGACAAGTGGATGAAAAGTCAGTGTCAGGCGACTTACGCGGCGACTGCGCTGATTGTGCAGGTGATGGGACCTGAGTACTTCGACGTCCATCAAATCTTCCCTTTGAAGGCAACGTTCGCCCTTGACAGCGTAGTAGTCTGGTATGCATATGAGGAGTTAAGGTGCACCTACCTGACTGGCAGTCTGCGTTCTGATCATTCGCATATAAAGTGTGCTGAATGAAGCCTGGGACCGCCTGAACTGTCGCAAAATGTAGATCCGCAGCGGACACTCTTGGGTTTGGGCCCTCCTGCCTCAAAGATTGACCGAGGACCTTCGTGTCCACTTTTGGAACGCCGTTATACTTTTTGTATTTCTTGCCAAGTTTCTGTAGGTTGATCTTCAACCATCGCATCATATATTTCTTTAACTGGACGCTGGAATTCTCAGGTCCCCTATAAGCCGTCTTGGTGATGGCTGACACCAGGCCGTCCAAAACCCAGAGGTAGGGATTAATTCGGCCAGTCTCCGCACCACCCCGTTTGATGGCACTTTTGTTAGCAGCGACGAGGGCTGGAGACATCTTGCCGGTGCGAGTTGTTCGATCACAATGACGGACGTGTTGTTGCAGCCAGTCGCAACAGTGCATTTGAAAACTGATCGATCGCAAGGGATCTATATGCGGAGAGCGTTGTCGCACGTGTGTTTGTTGATATGGTCGTTCAATGAATTGCCTGTTGAATGGGTTCACGCTGTGTACGACCTGCCGAATCCCTTGTCTATTTTATCGCAAGTGGTTTTATTTCAGTAAGCACGAAATACGACCGCATGCGAGTGTGTTTATGGCAGGTGAGACGAGAGTATTGTAACTGGTGGAGAGGCATTGTCGAGGACAAAATGTAAATTAAATGGACGGAGAAGAATATTAGGCAGAGAATGCCAGAGAAGGCATTCCCCCAAGAGGATGAAGACAAATTTCACTATGTGAATATATTTGCGCACACTTCCACAAGAAGTTAATTAGGGGTTATTTGCCTTCTGCGCAAACATGTACCCTGCTTAAGTAACCTGTGTGCTGGGGTGTTAACCGTCCACATTTTATCACAACCTTACCAAAATTAGCGTCAATTATGAGATACATCAAATCCTAATGAGCGAATTTTTACACAGCCCTACCTGTCACTCGGTCGTATATTCGGAAAAATGATGTTGGTGATGCAAAATGGAGTTAAATTTACAGCACCTTCATTATCTGCAAATTAACTGAAATCAGCTGGCATCTGCCTTGCCCGATAATCCTCCCCAACATAGATTGCGAAACGCTATCCAGTGGCAGACCTTAACAAAATTGTCTAAACGTCGCATACGCAACCCCCATATTGATTGGACGGAAACTTGTTGCATTGTAAACTATGTCTCGTCTACAATCCCCTCCACCTCTGACGCCGATTTCGTGTATCCTCTTGGTGTTCGGCATAGTTCGTTTACCATTTGAAGATAACTGGAATATATTGTTTTTATGTATTTTGCTAAGAGACACATGGATTTTAGCCTTTGTTTTTTGAATTTATTTATTTAAATACAGGCACATTCATTTTAATTACTGGTATTTCTGATAATCTGTTCCTGTTGACCTTCAATAGCATTCTGCAATTCATATTTTGTGCTTTCTATTTCTCTCTAATTGTGTACATTTCCTTTTAACACGGTTAGCCTCTCGCTGAAATTCAGTCGCCTGGTCGGTCAGAAATTTTCTCAATTGCAACTTCCTTCGAGACATGATGAAAACAAAAGTCACAGATCGGCCAAAGATCTCGGCATTTGCACCTCAGCATGGCTTAACTAAATCTAATTCAGAAGACATTACTAATCATTCTGCACGCGTTGTAACTGTTAGGCAGCTTAATCTGTCTGCATTTTACATCTGGAAGATTTTATAGAAATGTTTGGCACTATGCCTTCAATTCTGGGAAAACAATTCAACGGGAACATCTCCGACATCCATTCTACAAGGTGCATGCTTTCCGCGTAAGATAAACCATATGTTCCTCTATGCCCTTGGGAAGATATCATATAGGTTTCATAAAATTTTGTAATGGACGCGTGCCGTGTTGTACATTTCGTGAGGAGAATTGGTAAACGGATAGATACGATGCTGTATAAATAGACATTGTACCTTCTCAATAATTCTCACAATTAGAAACTATTTTAATACCAAAAGATATCTTTTATTCGGGCATAAAATGCAAAACCAACGTGAGTTTCTACCAAACGAGTAAAAGAAAGCATATTCTTGTGCATTTTTGCTATAAAATATATTTGTATTCTTAAGACCATCGGAAATCCAATCGCAAAATGTATGCCATTTAAGTACTCATTTTTGTCGAGTGCGGTTTCTGCAGGAAACCAAGCAGAACTGCATCCAAAAGCTGACACAGTGGCGAGTTCGAAGTTTTATAGGAATGCGCCGCATAATAATCAATCTTACAACGCCACCAAAGTAATCCTTTCTAGTGGAAAACGTAACTCACAATTCCGGCCTACTGCACCTTGTGAGCAACATTGACAAATGTACTGATGCGATTCTGCCTGATTATACATTTACGGACTTGAAAGATTTTCACAAGGCTTCAAATATAAAATGCAAGGAAGACATAATTTGCTGAGAAATGAATACAAGAAAGAATGTTTTGCGACTGTTTTCTATAAAATAAATCTGAATTTATAGAGAGTCGAAAGTGAATAGAAAAACATAAGCGGTCATTTTCTAGCAAGTCTGATTCTTGCAAGCAAAAGTAAAGACGTGCATTCGAAAGGCCGTACCCTGGGGGTGATTGATTATTTATTAACTCCCGCTCCAGAAACCAACACTGTTGAGAGTGTTACTAACTTACGTGAATCATAGCCATCAAAGGTGAACAGTGGACGGGGGTGTAAGTGCAGATGGATGCAGTCACATAAACTATCTCTGGACATTCGGCGCAGCCTGCGAGTCACTTAACTGGTCTGGAAAGCCAGTATGCTTGAAAGGATGGTTTTCACTGAAATTCTTGACTTCTGTCTAGCTAATCGGCTTCTGAGCTCTAGTCAGCATGGATTTTTACCTGAACGATCCTGCGAAAAATGCCACTTGGCATTTCTTAATCTAATCACTTCTCGTCGTAATGAGCGGCAGTCAGTGGTAGTTATTTACTTTGATCTTAGCAAAGCCATTGACAAGGTGCCCCATAGACGTCTCTTAGTAAAATTGGAAGCTTTCGGGATCCGGCCGCCTCAACTTGACTTCATCAGGTCCTATCTGTCCAACCGATATCAGAAAGTCATGGTCGGTAATAGCTCTTCGACACCTCACTTGATCACGAGTGGCGTACTTCAAGGCACGGTTCTGGGTCCGCTACTCTTCCTTCTGTACATCAATGATATTTCGACTGAACTCGGAAATTCGCAAACTTTTACGTATGCCGATTACCTCAAGTGTGTTTACTCATATTCGAAGGACACCGAAAACGTTTGTGTTGAAAAATTAATGCCGATTTACTACGCTTAAGCAGATGGGGTTCAACATCGCAGATGGAGTTTTCATCATCCAAGTGTAGTTTCATGTCTTTCGGTCCTGCCAAACTTCCTGATCCCATAACTTTTCAGAATAACCCACTCTCAGAATGCCTCACCATAAAGGACCTAGGTCTAAGTTATACAAATAAGCTTGCTTTATCACCTCATGCAGATAGAATCCCAGCCAAAGCCGTGCAGATATGTGAATTCATATCGCATAATTTTTTTCTCCCGGAAATGAAGCTAAGACCTTATCAAATGTTTGTTCTTCCAGTCCTCGAATACTGCTGTCCTTTCTTAGGTTTAATGAGCGCCTGCGACCGTAATAAAATCGAAAATGTTCAGAGGGTTTTCACCCGGAAACTGTTCTCTGAAGCTTCGTCCGGTATTTCTTATACTCAGAGATGTCAGCTGGGGAACATTAAGTTTTTGTGGGTTAGAAGACTCGAGGCTGGCCTTTGCTTCCTTTTCCGCATCAACTCTAGCTCCGATCTTCCGCTTCTTGACACTCTTACTCCGAGAGATCGGTCTTATGCCATGCGCAACTCCTGCATGGTGATTCCGCCGCCTCTTTGTACTACATCTAAACGCTCCCTCTTCTTTGCTTCCAAATATGCCTTCCTTTTGAATAATCTACCGCCTGAAATTAGATTGTCGCCTAAGGTACTAGTATTCAAGTCTAAATTACGCAAGCACCTTACACCGGAAAGCATAAACGCACTGTTAACGGTCTCATTCCCGAACACTCGGATTGTTGACTTCGAGAATGGTCCTCCTGGGATTTAGTGGTAGATCAAGTGGTAACCCTCAATTATATCATTAGAAACCCTGTTTTGAATTGGTTTCTAAATCCACTGCTATCACTCCTCCCCCATAGTGACAATTTTCGCGGTTTTTGATGTCATCTCCCGCATTCCGACCTCATGCGGTCTGTCGACGCTCAGGGCGGAACCCTCAGTATTCTCCGTCTACTAGTAGATTGGTCGTACCTCCCTTTCCCACTCCTCTTCTGGGCTCGAAGCGTACTGTGACAGATCGCGTCTGGAATCTACTCGCCTGGTCTCTTGGACGCGAATAATCTCATCCGGCGTATCAATCCGGCCCTGACGATGTCAGTTCTGAATCGCGTATACAATACCACATATAGGCGAGTCCTGTCCGACCCGCATACGTACCCCTCAAGGCTGACATTTATTCCTGCCCTGACGACGTCCGATTATAATCCGTTATATACCGCCACATACAGGCCAGTCCTGCACGCATTTTCCTTTTATTATTTTTTATGGAGTAGTTTTGTTCTCCTGTAAAATTAATCCAATCCTTTTTAATTTTTGTGTGGAGTTTTTTTTCATCCCTCGCTCGTCATTTGTCTCAACGGCCTAATAATTCAGAAACTATGAATTGCATTTTGGGCAGATTCTGCCTACCTCGTCTAAAATTCGCATTCGAATTAATTTATACTTGCATGATGGGACCCTAGCGGGTGTTTAGGGAATCCGCGTTCGAAGTAGGAATGAACAACTGCAGGTCTCATAGGCGCACAAGCATTCGCAAAATAAACGTCGTCTCAGACGTTGCTTGTCCATTGGTTAAGGGGGACTGAAGGCCCGCCTATGCGCTTGGCACGAGAATAACCTAATAGAATTGATCTCGAGGTCTGTTTGACTGTCGTGAACAACGATGACCACACCGTGCCCAAGAGCATAACCGGCACAGAACGGTAACTTGCGCGTGAATTAGTTTATCATGGTAGCTGACTTGTGCTGCACCTGTGGCACTCCTCACTCAAACAGCAGAACCCTGTGTCAAGACAGAGTCAAAAAGACATGACGCGGGATAGGGCGCAGTAACCGACAAAGCTAAACAGCCCATCTATGCCTGCCACACACGAATTGACCCGTGTACGATGCACCAGGTTTTTGCAGAAAAGGTGGGGTCAGCTCGGATCCCATCGCAGTGCAGGTGTCATGGAAGCTACATCCCGAAAGGGCCCTTACAGTCTGACTCTCTGTCCTGAGAGGTCCAATT